AGGTGGGAAGGGAACTCAAAGGGAAAATAGCAGCCTCACAATCACGAGCTCGTGGTTGGAGTCATCATTGTATTTCACCTAATGCGACGTCACCAAAACGATGTACAGTGATCGGAGCGACGCTAACCTCGAAAAGACATGCAAAATCCTAGTAACGATAGAATAAACGTCGCGAGACGGTTGGTATTGTTATTGCTCCAGGCATATTTTCATATTCAGTTGTTTACTGCCTGATCTACGCTGTAATTAATGCTACGTGGTACTCCTATCATATACGTTTTTCCTTGACATCAGCTACTTGGTGGATATACTAGTATATCTCGACACATTCCATTTACTGGACTGGAAGATTGGAAGAAATAAATTCACCGCCGACGCAGCTAACCAGGAAAGGATGGTTGGTCAAAGTGGTCGTTTGTAATGAGATCTATACCGGCTGATGCGTCTTTGGACACTGATTTCAAATCTGCCCTCCAAATCTGCTAAACGATTCTCCGCGCAGATACAGAGGCTTGTTGAGCAGACCACTGCTCGAGACCAATGTTCAGCAAATATCTAAATGATGTGTGAGCTCATGTCACGCGTGACTCGATGGCGTAGTGGATAAGTGATCGGCCTGATATGTGCAAAGTCAACGGTTCGGATCCTTCCTGAAATTACGGCATTGCATTGTCTCAAAAATGCTCCCTGCACATCTTAAAAGCACTTTTGCGGGGTTAGGAGATCCGATTTTCCAAAAAAAATGTCATTTCTGAAGGAATGGAGTCATACTGGAACACTCCGGAAAGATATTCATGGTAGTTGGTTTTGGCGGCATTTTCTTTGGGGTGTGTTGTGTCGCCTAACTGATTCCACATGGCATGGAAGCCAAAACTGAATGTCGTGCTTGTGATCAGGGCCCTCAGTACCCAACAAGGGCTGAGATTCGTCGGAAAAGCTCCACTGATCACAGAGATTTTGATCGGCGATAGTGTCAGCAACCTTGAGGAATTCGTTGCCCATGGTTACCCCATTGTATCGAAAATAGGTCGAAATCTCAGATTTGGAAAACTTGCCTCTAGGGCTAATTTGAGCACCAGAACAAGAATATCACACTCGTCTGGCGTAAAAACCCCTGCCAAGGAGTTGCATGTCCCTGCACACCCTGCCCCTCAGAATGCGAGCAAGACATTTCTGTGGAAAATACCTCCAGTGATGACTTCCAGAGCACCAGGCCACCTCTGATCCCAGATTTTAGCAAATTTGGGGGTCTTGGTGTGCCTCACATACATGCCGGAAATGGGTGTGCCTGGTCAAAATTCCTGCATAACTTTTTCCAGGTAATCGTTTCGCGGATATGGAGGGCAAATTTGTAATCAGCGTCCAAGGGCCCACCGGGCAGTATACATCTCATTTTGAATGACCACTTCGACCAACCTTCCTTTCCTAGTAAGTTCGATACTCGATAATCTGATTTGTGGGCATGTCGCAGGACAAAACGAGAGCTCGCCAACCTGCAACTACTAAAGCAGTCACTTCCAGTACTCCGACCAACGGCCCATCTGAGACTGATGTTGCGCAGATGTCGGTGTCAGAAATTATTAGTGCAATGATGGAAAGAAACGAGCTGTTGAAGGTCTCAGTTATGGGTAAATACGTCAGTGCGCTTGTGGCTAAGTTGCCTGAGATGATTGCTGATGCAGTCGAGGCTGAAAAAAGGGCACGCAGTCTGGTGATCTTCGGAATCCCCGAATGTGCTCCCAATACACCTCCTTCCGTCAAACAGCAGGAGCTTGAGGGGAAAGTCGGTGATATCCTCGGCTGTATGGGTATTGAGTGCCGTCCCGTGGAGGTGTACCGTATGGGAAGGCCCGGAGGTGCCCACCCACGTTTAGTTGAACTTGCACTCGCTGCCAGGGGTCACTGGGAAGAATTGCGTTTTACTTGTATTCCAAAGCTCAGTTACAGGACTTGGCAAAAAGCCAGGAGAGCTGCACGCGACCGCGCCGCGCGGATGATGTTAGCATAAACGTGAGGGCGGTGTAGCGAATCACGACTTTCCCACGGTCCCGCATTCTGGCCCCGTGCAGTTTTGGGCGGGAGGACCACGACACATCGACAGCTGGGGGGGCTGATAGTCTCCTACACCCTCAATGTTTTGAGCATACCACGTGTCTTTAACTGCTGCGGAGCGCAAACACGAGTTCGAGTTGAGGGAGGAGACAGTTAAACGGCCGTTGGTGAGCTAAGGCGCGTCGACAAGCTCCCTAAAAGGCGGGGTGCGGGAAACGCCAGAATTGGTACGGTACACTCCGAGGTATTCGATGTTATCTTTTCAATTCTAGGAGTTTAAGTGATAAGATAAAGAGCACTTACCAGGGAGGTCGTTCAGGACATGGCGCGCTTTTTGAAAACGGTTTTTTGCATTGTGTAGGGGCACGTTCATGGACGGCCAAACTGACGTTCATTTTTCCTGAATGGCTCTTTGAATACCAAAAAAGGAGTGAAGAAAAAAATGTATGGAAACGGTTCGGTTTTGAGCTTCTATGGGCTCCAAATCACTTCCAACTTTGACCAGTGGCTGAGTAGTGGGTCCTTATAAAGGCACTATAGGTATCGAGGAGGAAAGTAGTCGCAAATGGGGTCTTATTTGCGGCACGTGATTGACAGCGAACGCCTCTGGGCGGCTTGTCGGGATGGTTTCTTCAATGATCGGAGCGGTGTTCAGCTACAACGATCGGATGGCCTAGTGGATAGCGTGGAGGGTTCTCAATCGGATGGTAAGGGTGGTGTTGATGGTTCGACTCCCCTCGGCGTGCCAGTTTTTGCATTTTTTTAGTTTCGCTACCCTAGCCTCCATAAATGTCTCTGCATGAGGATAACATGGATATTTGCCATTTATGGGAAAATTCCTACCTGTAGGATCTCGCGAGTCGGTATTATAACACTATTACAATGTTCTCCTACAATTAGGCAAGGCTGCTGCCGAAAACTGATTTTTACGTGTAAGTAAGTGATGAGATTATCAATTTGGTACTTAATTTTAGCTGTGGTGCCATTTGACTCCGATTTGCATCCACATCACTCTCCTACTGAATCCACTATGGAAATCCATACAAGGGACGTTTCGCGCTATCCTGCCGTCGGATTGCGTCAGCGCCAGAAATGAGTGTCAGAATCGTGTTCAGGACCAAAAATAACCCCTATAGACGAAGAATCGCTCAAAAAGTTTTTCCGACCGTCTTTGGTTAAGGCGACCTATTTGATCGACGATTATGACCGAAGTCCCACACCTTGCCAAGGGCGATGACGTAACGATGACGTAACGCGCCGCTGAACAGCCGCATCGCGAATTCGCTGCACCAAAGGTTCTTCCATGCAGTTATAAGTCTGGATGCATGCGGAATACGTGAACAACCATCGTAGACCTTTGTCGACCCCTAGCGGGTGCTCACCGACGAAGGTGTCATTCTCCTCCAGCCGCAGAACAGAGTCGTTTAAGTTTCCAAAATTCCAAATGCACCTGGAGGGATGTCTGGATTTTTCTTTCCCCAGTGGTGCATCCTTGTTGTCAGTTTTATGTTTACTAATCAGTAAATGGGAAGGTTTGAATAGCAGGCGAAGTAGGGTTTCAGTGGAGAGACTCGGTGTACACAATCCGTTACACACACCCAAAAAGGTCGAAAAATTTTTTTGAGCGATTCTTCGTCTATAGGAGTTATTTTTGGTCCTGAACACGATTCTGACACTCACTTCTGGCGCTGACGCAATCCGACGGCAGGATAGCGCGAAACGTCCCTTGTATGGATTTCCATAGTGGATTCCGTAGGAGAGTGATGTGGATGCAAATCGGAGTCAAATGGCACCACAGCTAAAATTAAGTACCAAATTGATAATCTCATCACTTACTTACACGTAAAAATCAGTTTTCGGCAGCAGCCTTGCCTAATTGTGGGAGAACATTGTAATAGTGTTATAATACCGACTCGCGAGATCCTACAGGTAGGAATTTTCCCATAAATGGCAAATATCCATGTTATCCTCATGCAGAGACATTTATGGAGGCTAGGGTAGCGAAACTAAAAAAAAATGCAAAAACTGGCACGCCGAGGGGAGTCGAACCATCAACACCACCCTTACCATCCGATTGAGAACCCTCCACGCTAACCACTAGGCCATCCGATCGTTGTAGCTGAACACCGCTCCGATCATTGAAGAAACCATCCCGACAAGCGGCCCAGAGGCGTTCGCTGTCAATCACGTGCCGCAAATAAGACCCCATTTGCGACTACTTTCCTCCTCGATACCTATAGTGCCTTTATAAGGACCCACTACTCAGCCACTGGTCAAAGTTGGAAGTGATTTGGAGCCCATAGAAGCTCAAAACCGAACCGTTTCCATACATTTTTTCTTCACTCCTTTTTTGGTATTAAAAGAGCCATTTAGGAAAAATGAACGTCAGTTTGGCAGTCCATGAACGTGCCCCTACACAATGCAAAAAACCGTTTTCAAAAAGCGCGCCATGTCCTGAACGACCTCCCTGGTTAGTGAAACTGATTGATAACCCCCAAAAGGCCCAAAAGGCTATCCATTACGACACCTTCACTAACGACTTGAAAGCTTCTTGAGCCTCACCTTTGTTGGATACATCGTATGCTGCTTACGTTTTCTATCGTTAGCATACATTTGAATTTTTATCTCGGATAGAAGTAATAACGTATGCAGGGAGATCTAGTGTATATATGTACGAGAAACAGTAATGGTGACAGAACTTCCCTGAGAGACACCACTCCCACCAGAAGACATATGCTTTGTGGTGATAAGTTGTGCTCATCGACGTGCAATCGAAAAAAGTAACAGGGACTAAAGTGATGGTGCCAAAAAAAGGAAGTGGTGGGAGGCAAACAAAAAAAACAGGTATCGAAATTCTAAAATGGAATTAAACTTGGCAGTGTATTTCCTCACTTGCACTGCGCACAGACACTTGCACTGCGCACAAAGTGGTAAGCTCTCAAAAGTACTTACCCGTAAGGCGCGCCATCGAGGTCTAATTCCATCAGTTCCATGAGGTCAGCACGAACAACCTGATCGGCATCCACAAATATAATTTTTTTTACATCCAACGGGAACAAGACATCGAGGAAAAGAATCTTAATTGGAGGGAGTTATTGCCTTGAGATCCCAGCACGATACGCAGTACCTGTTGTCAAGCTTACCTTATACCCCCACATGATCCTGTGCTTCTCTTTCTGTTGATGCAACCATCTTGGCCATTTATATTCAACGAGCGCATAAGAAAAGCCGTATGTACTCGATAGTATAGGGAGGGCTTCCTACGAATCAAATTGAAGACTGTGCTTCAAAAGATCAATGTATGAAACAACCTTGAACTGAGGAGATAGATAGTTTTTTAGAAGCCAGAACTTTACAGGTTTTGCTGTATTCTTTACAACAGAGACCATCATGATGTTCAGAAATCTTTCATACAGCTGTCCTGATGCCAAAGAGAAGACATTAATGGTGTCATACCTCGCCGCAGAGAGACTGAAATACTGTATACTTTGAAGGACAAAGGAAGATGGTGCTACGCTGTGCTGAGCAGCAGATTGAGATTGAAATTAGATTATTCAAAGCGAAGCCAACAACGTACGAACGGCAAACGTTACACATGGGGAACAGAGGTAGCTCGCTAGCCGGTGACCAGTCGGCTCGCCGGCTGGTCACTAGCTAGCGTGCAACCTCCGTTTCCAACCTTACCCATCAGTGAATTTTTGAAATTTGCCCCCACCTTGACACATGCTTTGCCCACAATGGGCGGGTCGGTCTCACTTGAATGAACGAGCTCTCGCATACTTTTTCTCACCTTTTGCCGGTGTCCGGCGTACTCTGGCAACGTTTCACAGATTTTTTCTCCGGCCCTGTCCATCTCGTCGCACACGCCGTCCCAACGGAAGTGCCTCACCCCTCTCAACGGACGATCCCTCGGTAACCTTAGCCCACTTTTTCCCCGGTGCCTGGAGCGTTCTGGAACCTTTTTTTCGAATACTGAAATTGGCTCCTCCCAACTCACCGCACGCTTCGCCCACAAATGGTGCGCCTCACGCCTCTCAGCCAGTGACCCCGCGTAGTTGTAGAACACTCCAGACACCGAATTTTTTTCCGGTGTCTGGTGTTTCTACAACCTTTCTCAAAATTCCAAAGTTGGCTCCGCCCATCTCAGCACACGCCCCGCCCACAGCCGTTGTGCCTTTCACTTCTCCACCCGTGGCCCCCACGATGACCTTAAGCGAATTTTTTCCGGTGTCTGGAGTGTTGTGGAAGGTTTTTCGAATTTCTAAAGTTGGCTCCGCCCACAAACGGGTGTGCCTCACACCTCTCAACCCTCCATGGTAACCCTAATCCACTTTTTTCCGATGTCTGGACCGTTCTCTAACGGTTCTACAAATTTTTAAGGTTAGCTCCTCCCACCTCACCGCATGCTCACAACGGTGTGCCTTTCGCTTCCCAACCCAGGGTGAACTTAACCCACTTCTTCCCGGTGCCTGGAGCGTTCTCGTACCCTTCTAAAAACTCTTGAGGTTTGCTCCTCCCACCCCAAAGCACGCTCCGCCCACAGCCGCTGTTCCTCAAGCCTCTCAACTGGTGACCCCCACGGTGACCTTCACGTGTTGTTGTTGCTTCCATTTGGTCTGCCAACCCTTTGCATTAACCTCGTTCCAGTTTTCTGCCATCTGGAGCTACGCTGGGACCGATCTACGAATTTTTTCAGAGACACCGGTAAATTTTGGAGCATGCAACGCTCAGTGTAGGCTGAGCTTACCAGGAAAGTTCAACAGGTCGCCATGGCCATTCAGGATGGGATGCATATTATCGTGTGCGTCTTGGACCACTGAACTTAAATCTGTTTTCAGAACTTGCGGAACGAGTCAAGAGGAGATAGGGAGGGAGGTTTCTTGTATAGCACATGCCGATCCTCCTTTGTGGTAGCTCAAGTTAAGTTCGACAATCGGCAGTGCTAAGCGGTCGATGGTGCAGTGGATAGGTAAGTTGCTTCATAGATGCGAGGCCAAAGGTTCGACTCCTTGGCAAGTCCTCATTTTTGCTTTTTTCAACATCTTTCGTGAGTCTAGCATGTACTCTTTCCGTTATTTCGTCAAGCTTGCTTTCATTCGCAGCAAGAAAAGAGCCGATTGCAGCCACTTTTTCAGTTGTGCTTCTCTTTCAAGATTTTTAGTATAAAATTACCGGTTCGCAAATGCTATATGAATGAGTCAATACAAATGTTCAAGAGCACATTTGGTGTTCCTTTACGAAATGGTCAAAGCAAAATAGCTTCTCACAGTGTGCATAACGAATGAAGAAAAATTCTGCACAATCGGTGTAGTCACAGTGTCCCATCAATTCATAAGGGAAGCAGTATTGGACAGGGGTTTCAAGTTCACCACGATTTACATCAAAATATCCCGATACATACCAGGAATAGGACAAGAAGTTTTTAAAACGAGGAGAGCAAAACTGAAAATAAATGAGAGAGAGAAGATGGAGGGTAGGGTCCCGACTGTGTATACAGAAATTTATATAGTGAGCTATTGCGTACGAACTGAAACGCTTATACATTGATTGAACGGTAAGGAGAAATGCACGTCCAGAGGTTGAATTAAGGTTGTAGCACCTGATGGTGTATTGAGGACTTTTAAATTCTTCCCAGGTGGCAAAGCCAATTGAATAGACCTGGTCTTAAGGAGGTCCACAAGTCTACTATAAGAAGTGTTGACGGGCGACTCTGGAGAGCCAACACAGGTTTTCACCCAATCCAACAGGGTGGCGGACTTTACTTGGAGTGGCATACGGTAGCCACCACCTAGCGCATATCCCGGGGCCTGATTGCGGCATGACCTCACTTAATTGCTGCGCTGACTGCTGACCTCTCACTGGCTGCTCAGCGAAACGAGATGAATCGAATCGAATTCATCTCGTAGTAGGATTTGATATGTGAAGATCTGTAATTCCCTTACTTCGTGATTATTGAATGAGGATAAATGCTCGTATCGAAGGAATCCCTTTTGAAATTTTCAGAAATTTCTGTTTTTAGGTGCACCCACACAATCTTGTGACCTTCCAAAGGAAAAGTAACTCCTACAAAATGACTTTTCACACTTTATTTCTTTAATGGCCTTTCTCTGTTGACCTTGCTGCTGCTGCTGCTGCTGCTCATACCCTATCGAACGTCATCTGAAAATATATTTGAAAATATAGTTATATAGCTTGATGAGAACAACATTAAGACTGCTCGTTTGTCGTCGCACGAGCATGCTTCCAGGTTACTATTAGGTTGTCCCAAATGTTCTGGTACACTTTCAAACTTTTTTTCGAATTAAGTTTATTCCAGTGGGAAGCAAATTTGATCAGCTATATATATATGTCACCTTCATTGGCAACTTGTTACCAATCACTACGCAATGTGTGGTTGCCCTGCTTCCAGAAGCCTCTTAGTTCTGTGGCCAGAAAGGCAGCTGGGTCACTTTTAAGAAACTATCGAAAATCGTATTTTTTTTAGCAAGAAGATGGCCGCTGTGGGATTAGTTTAGATGGCGATCGGAAAGAGCTAAGTCAGGGCTACATGAAGACTGTGGTGGAATTCCACAGCTAAGCTTCGGGATCTCGAGCAGTGTCATTTTCGAAACGTGTGACTCTGAGCTGTGGTGAAGTAGGCAAACATTGCTCGGTTTTGGGACCAAATGGTAGAGATTTTCCACCCCACTTTGCAGTTGATTACAACAGCTCCCTGGTTATCATAGCGTTCGAAGGAGGGAATTCTGTTTCGAGAGCATAGAAAGGTACACCACAACATACACAGCCTCACCCGCCCTACTGGATTGGAAGGATTGCGCGATCGGTTCTGCCCCTTCTGGGAGATCTAGCCGCTGGCGTTCCCGGAAGTGATTCATCTAGAGGCACCCACTCCATATCCAGTTACAGTGCTTCAAGCAGCCCGTACAGCGGAAGCGGGAAAGAAGTTGTAGAAAGTACCCACGTGCTCCCCTTGGGGTGCTGGTCAACTGATGAGAAAAATTTTGACCGAACTTCAACTTTTCTAAGGGAGCGAGGCCTTTTCTCATTTGTGCTTTGGGACCAGTCAAGTGTAAGGAGTAGGTAGCAAGTTGATTCGTACGAATTGGCTTTGATCAAGGAACACAGTAGGTCCAAATCCAAGGCAGACGGCCTCCTTGGACGAAGTTTTTCACCAGGATAGAAGTCACTAAAGCAGAAGCAATTGAGCCATTCCAAAGCCGTACTGTGGAAGCTAACATCAAGATCTATAAGAAAAATGCCGCCTATGGCTCCAACCACGTTGTGGCTTGGTAGCGATTCATATAGCGAAGTGTGTCGAAAATGATGAATTTCAATTACCGTTTTTCACATGAGAACAGCGACTGCGAGGGACAGTGAAGAAGCTGTGGAATGCTTACCTTACACACTTCCCATAGACCAGGATCTCAAAATGGCTGCGGAAAAATCTGATACGAGATTCAAAAAGTGTCCCAGAACTTTTGGGACAACCTAATACTATTGATTGATATCGTTGGATGCTTTACTAGTCTAGGGAAATTGCCTTGATGATTGTTTAGGCGCTTGCGGGCAGTTACAACTGTTTTTTGTCCATTTCAGGCTCAGATGAAAGCGAAGACGTCGAAACGTAGGCCTAGTAATAAAAGCTATCTAATCTTGCACAGGCTTGAAGACATACGAAAAGGATCCTGTTCTAATGAACAGTAGAAAGAGGAGGGAAATTTCTGACGAAAGGGTGAAAAATGATGAAATGATCCTGAGATATGCGCAGTATGACGGTCCGCAATGTGTTACTCAGCGATCTAGGGACGTATGCTATACTCCCCCTCAAGGGGTGGGGTCCCCTCTAGGGGAGGACACCCCAGGGAGGCGTCCAGAGCGGCCGTATGCTATACTCGAAGCTGAAGAAGCTGTGGAATGCCTACCTCACACACTTCATATAAACCACATAATTGGATCTCGAAATGGCTGCGGAAAAATCTGATACGAGATTCAAAAAGTGTCCCAGAACTTTTAGGACAACCTAATACTACAACGGGTGCTGTCATTACTCTCCCATGCACACACTCCTCACAGGCTCCACACGAGACTGAGGTAGATGTCAGAGAATACGTAGGTGAGAAAGCTTGGACGGCACCAATGTAAAGATGAACCATCGGCGGAGGAGCCGTCCAAGCCATCCGTATAGTGATTGGGCCGGCGGTAGAGCAGAAAAACGTGTAGAGAATCGGTGGTGTAGAACCTTTGAAGAGTAAGTGGAAGAGGAAGCCAGAAGTGAAATAGTGTGTGAGTCAACCTGTTAGAAAACTATGCCTTTGGAAAGTCACAAGATGTGTGGGTGCACCTAAAAAAAGAAATTTCTTATAATTCCAACAGGGTTCTCTTCGATTCGAATGTTCACCCTCAATCTAAAATTCATGGAATTAGGAAATTGCAGATCTTCGCATAACAAACCCTACTACTAGATGAATTTGAACCGATTCATCTCGTTTCGTTGAGCGGCCAGTTAGAGGCCAGCAGTCAGCGTAGCACTTAAGTGAGGTCATGCCGCAGGCATGCCTAGGAATATGCGCTAGGTGGTGGCTACATTATCATACCGTACGCCATTCCAACTAAAGGTGCTCACCCAGTCCAACATGTGCTGTTTACTCATAATATGAACGTTACCTGCGCGTACCACCAGGTTTGGTG